ACATGAATTGTTTTAATAGTGTAAATAAGCGCATTTTAGGCCCAAAAAAACTACTAGAGGTTTTCCTGTTTCCGGGGGTTTTCAGGAGTCTTAGTGATCTCTCGAGTTTTAGGGGGGTAGGGGGGTTTTACGCGCAGAAACCGGGGGTCATATTAGATATCATTCGAGTGAACAAGCACTACTTATGCTCTTGAGATTATAATATGCAATTCTTATGTAAAGTCTTTTCAACACTCATACTATTTACCTGTTTCATTCGTTAAATGCTCACCCTTGTTAGTTAATACCGTGTGCGCTCTGTTATGTCAATTGAAAGGAAAAAAAAAAAGAGAACCCCTTGCCCGATGGAGAGAACGCCCGGCATGCTGGGTCATCTCGCTTATGCTCTCCACCATCACAAATGTAAGCGTCGATGAAAGTATGGGGGATAACATCAATTAATGGCCCTGAAGTAGGAACCAAATGCCAGGAATAGTGCACCGTATGAAACCCTTCAAATACTTGTCCCTCACCTTCAATAACCGTTAGCATTAAGAAATCAACTGATGGTCGGTTCTTACTACATCGCATGCTGCGATGTGACGAGATATGGAGTAAACGTATATCTTAACCTATGAGTAAATTGTGTTCGGTCTTAAATTTCGCCTATCCTTGAATTCGTATAAATGTTTCCTACATAATTGTTTGCTTTATACAAACCTTGGTATAATGATGATATATGAGGGGTGTACTACTATATATGTTGATTAAACATATACATGTCCTTGAATACCATTGAAATGGTCGAAATAAATTAATGGTGATTATACATATATGCACTAGGTACATACATGATATAAATTACATACGCGCAAAGAATAGTTTAGCTTAGAATCCTAGCTTTGGGAGTTAGGGGTGGGAGTTAAAATCTCCTTTCTTTGAGCAGTAGGGGGGAATTTAACCTCCGGCATCCGGTTTACAAGACCGGCGCTCTTACGCTGAGCTACTAGTGCACGATCACCCAAGCGCCTTATTTTCTGCCCACCCCGCTAGCGGAGAGAGGATTAGGAAAAGGGAAAAATATAAGACGGATGCAATTTGGCCAATAATAATGTACGGGTGTTCTACGGGTATGCCGCCGATTCATGTGAGAATAACAACATCTGCGATGAGAGTTCAGAATAGAAATTGAGTGATTGGGCGGAAGGTCAGTCCTTGTTGCTTAGAAGTGTGTAGGATTGGTACAACTATCAGGACGAGAATGGAGGCTAGAAGGGCCAGGACACCTCCTAGTTTGTTAGGGATGGATCGTAGGATCGCGTAGGCAAACAGAAAATATCATTCGGGCTTGATGTGGGGAGGGGTGATTAGTGGGTTCGCTGGGGTGAAGTTGTCAGGGTCTCCTAAGAGGTTGGGGGAGAATAGTGCTAGGGCTGTAAGACCAATAACTAAAGCTGCAAAGCCAAGAAGATCCTTATATGAAAAATATGGGTGAAATGAGATTTTGTCAGCATCTGAGTTTAGGCCAAGGGGGTTGTTTGAGCCCGTTTGGTGTAGGAATAGAAGGTGTACTAAAGTGGCACCCGCAATGACAAACGGAAAGAGGAAATGGAAGGCAAAAAATCGGGTTAGCGTAGCGTTGTCAACTGAGAAGCCTCCTCAGATTCATTGGACAAGAGAATTTCCGATGTACGGTACTGCAGAGAGAAGGTTGGTGATAACGGTTGCCCCTCAAAAGGACATTTGTCCTCAGGGTAGGACGTACCCCACGAAGGCAGTTATTATTACTAGAAGAAGTAGGACAACACCCACGTTTCATGTCTCTTTGTAGAGGTAGGAACCATAGTATAACCCTCGGCCGATGTGTATGTAGATGCAGATGAAAAAGAAAGATGCGCCGTTAGCATGGAGGTTTCGGATGAGTCAGCCGTAGTTAACGTCTCGGCAAATATGGCCAACAGAGGAGAAGGCGGTTGCAATGTCTGAGGTGTAATGTATGGCGAGGAAGAGTCCTGTGAGGATTTGAATGATTAAGCAAAGGCCAAGTAGGGAACCAAAGTTTCATCATACTGAGATATTGGAGGGGGCGGGTAGGTCAACTAGTGCGTTATTTGCGATTTTTAGTAGTGGGTGAGTTTTTCGTAGGCTTGCCATTAGAGGTTTTTGTAGTTGAATAACAACGGTGGTTTTTCAAGCCATTAGTCCTGGTTAAAGTCCTGGCAGGAATTATGACCTATATTATGTCTTTGTTCTTATTGGGGTTAGTACTGGGTTTAGTGGCTGTTGCTTCTAATCCTTCTCCATATTTTGCTGCTTTGGGGTTGGTTGTTGTAGCAGGTATGGGGTGTGGTGTTTTAGTTGGCCATGGAGGTCCTTTTTTATCATTAGTTTTATTTTTAATCTATTTGGGGGGAATACTAGTTGTATTTGCATATTCAGCAGCTTTAGCTGCTGAACCTTTCCCGGAGGGGTGAGGGAGTCGGCCTGTTGTGGCTTACATAGTCCTGTATATGTTTGGGGTGTGTTTAATTTCCAGTGCGGTATGAGGGGGGTGGTATGAAGCATCTTGGGTGCCGGCTGATGAGTTTGGGGAGTTTTCCATGTTTCGGGGGGATATTGGAGGGGTGGCCATAATGTACTCATCGGGGGGAGGAATACTAGTAATTAGTGCGTGGGTGTTGTTGCTTACGCTGTTTGTTGTTTTAGAGTTAACGCGTGGGTTGGGCCGAGGGACGCTTCGGGCGGTTTAATACGTAACTGCTAGGAGGGCAAGGGTTAGGGAGAGGAGGAAGAGGGCTAAATAGGTTTTGATCAACCCCTGTTGCGTATTACTAGTGATGGTTACTAGGGGGATATTAGAGGAGGCTACAGCTTTAGGTCCTACTTTTTCAATTCAAGATTGGTCAAGCATTTGGCTAGCAATTGTTTGTCCTAGGACAAGGTTGAGTTTTGGAGAAAATCGATGAATGATAGGTGGGAAGAATCCGAGCATGTTGGAGAAGTGGTGGAGGGTTAAATTTGGTGTTTTTTGGTATTGCTTGTTTGTCAGGGAGGCTAGTTCTAGGGCGAGGAGGAGGCCTGTAATTGTAACCAAGAGGGCGGCTAATTTGAGTAGTGGGGGTATAGTCATAACGGGGGTTTTTAGTGGAATGATACTTGAGGTAATTAAAAGGCCAGCAATAATGCTTCCTCATGCAAGTCGTTTAATGGGGTTAATAACTGCTGGGTTGTTTTCATTAAGGGGGGAGAGAGGGTTAAAGCGAGGGTGGCCCATTGATACAAAAAAGACTACTCGAAGGCTATAGATTGCTGTAAAGGAGGTGGCTAATAGGGTAAGAACGAGGGCTCAGGCGTTTAGGTGTGATGTGTTTAGGGCTTCAATGATTGCGTCTTTTGAGAAGAACCCTGCGAGGAACGGGGTGCCTGTAAGAGCAAGGCTCCCAATCGTTAGACAGGAAGAGGTAAAGGGGGTGAGGTGATGTATTCCTCCCATTTTACGGATGTCTTGTTCGTCATTTAAGCTGTGGATTACTGAGCCTGAGCAGAGGAAAAGTATTGCCTTGAAAAAGGCATGTGTACAAATGTGTAGGAAAGCGAGCTGGGGTTGATTTAGTCCGATAGTTACTATCATTAGGCCTAGCTGGCTTGATGTTGAGAAGGCAATGATTTTTTTGATATCATTTTGAGTTAAAGCACAGGTGGCTGTAAATAGGGTGGTTAGGGCTCCAAGGCAGAGGCAGGTGGTCAGGGCAGTTTGATTCCCCTCTAGTAGTGGGCTTATTCGTACAAGTAAAAAAATACCAGCAACAACTATAGTGCTGGAGTGTAGTAGGGCAGAGACCGGCGTAGGACCCTCCATGGCCGAGGGAAGCCATGGATGGAGCCCGAATTGGGCGGACTTGCCGGTTGCGGCAAGAATTAGTCCTAAGAGAGGGAAGGTGAGATCGGAGTCTTTAGAAGCTGCAAAAATTTGTTGTATTTCTCACGAGTTTAGGTTTATAGCTATTCATGCTATAGCAAAAATTAGGCCGATATCTCCCACACGGTTGTAGATGACGGCTTGAAGAGCGGCGGTATTAGCATCAGCTCGTCCGTATCATCACCCAATAAGAAGAAATGACATAATGCCAACCCCCTCTCATCCAATAAATAGTTGAAATATATTATTGGCTGTTACTAGAATGACTATGGCGATGAGGAAAACTAGAAGATATTTGAAGAAACGGTTTATATTGGGGTCTGCGTGTATATACCAGGATGCAAATTCTAGGATTGATCATGTTACATAAAGGGCAATTGGGGTAAAGATGATGGAGTAATGGTCAAATTTAAGGCTAATATTAATATCAAAGCAGGTCGTGTTTATTCAACTTCATGAGGTAATAATCGTTTCTGTGCCCTCATTAAAGAACATGAACAGTGGTAGGAGACTCACGAAGAAAGCTAGTTTTACTGCTGTTTTTACGTGAGAAACAGCTCAGGCGGGGGTCTGGGTGCGGGGGGAGAGGGTTGAGAGTAGGGGGTAGGCTAATAGTGCAAAAATAATAATTAGGCTTGAGGTTATTACAAGTGAAGTGGGATGCATAGCTACTACTTGGATTTGCACCAAGAGTTTCTGGTTCCTAAGACCAGCGGATGAGCTGTTATCCTTTAGAAGCGGCTCGAGTGAGCCCTGGGGTTCAACCAAGGTTGCGGAGATTAGCAGCCCCCGTTGCTGGCGAGCCTCTCTCGGTGGATAAGGGGGCTTTAACCCCTATCTTTAGAATCACAATCTAATATTCTTGTTAAACTATATCTACATGAGGCTCACCCTCAGATTAGTTCTGGCTTCATGATAAGTATAAGTAGCGGGATGAGGTGAAGGGCCATGAGAAGATGTTCACGGGTGTGAGAGGGGTCTAGGGCGATGATGTGTGTGGGAAGGGGGCCTCGCTGGGTTATAAGAAATATATAGAGAGAATAGCTTGCGGTAATAAGGGTGCCTGCTCCGGTTAATACTAGGGTCCATCAGGATCAGTTGAATATAGAGGTAATAATTATAATTTCCCCCATTAGATTAGGGAGCGGGGGAAGGGCTAAGTTGGCAAGACTTGCAATAAATCATCAGGTTGTCATTAGTGGCAGTACCATTTGTAATCCTCGAGCTAGGAGCATGGTTCGGCTATGTGTCCGCTCATAGTTCGTGTTAGCAAGGCAGAAGAGAGCAGAGGATGCGAGGCCGTGGGCAATCATGAGGATTAGGGCCCCGGTGAATCCTCAAGGGGTTTGAATAAGAATGCCTCCAACAACTAGGCCTATATGGCTTACGGAGGAGTAGGCGATGAGTGACTTCAAGTCTGTTTGACGTAAGCAGATTGAGCCTGTCATAATTACACCTCAAAGGGCAAAAACAATAAAGGGGTAACTTAGCTCTTGGGTCAAGGGGTCTAATATGACAACTATACGTATCATTCCGTAACCCCCGAGTTTTAAAAGTACTGCAGCAAGGACTATTGAGCCGGCAACTGGGGCTTCAACGTGTGCTTTGGGTAATCAGAGATGTACCCCGTACAGGGGTATTTTAACTAAGAATGCAAGAAGACAGCCAGCTCATCATAGTTTGTCTGCATAGGATGTAAGTTGAACGGGGTTTGAGTATTGTAGGGTAAGTAGTGATAGGGTACCTGCACTGTTTTGAAGCAGAAGGAGGGCGACTAAGAGTGGTAGAGACCCTGCTAGTGTATAGAAAAGGAAATAAATACCTGCATTTAGTCGTTCGGTTTGATTGCCCCAGCGGGTGATAATAATTAGTGTCGGGATAAGAGTAGCTTCAAATATGACGTAGAACATAATAATTTCGGTAGCTCCGAAGGCTAAGATAAGGAAGATTTGAAGGGATGTTAATAGGGTAATGTAGGTGCGTTGGCGGTTGATGGGTTCAAGTGCGGTGTGGCTCTGACTTGCCATAATCATAAGGGGAAGTAGTCAGCAAGTTAGGACTAGGAGGGGCGTGGATAGGGGGTCTGTCGCTATGTAACTATTGAGGTTGAATCAGCCAGTCTCTGACATGTTGATTAATCAGGAGAGGCTAAGGAGGGCAATAATAAGACTTTGAGTAAGGGTTGTGGGTCATAATCACTTGGGTTTGACTATTCAGGCGGTGGGTACTAGTATGAGGGTGGGGATTAAGATTTTTAGCATTGTAGGAGGTTGAGGCTTTGAAGGTGGTCTGTTCCATGGGTTCGTGCGGTGGCTACCAGTAAGGCGAGGCCTGCACTTGCTTCACAGGCCGAAAATGCTAGCAAGAGTATGGGGGCTGCGGAGAAGCTTGTAGACCCTAGTTGCAAGGTTCATAGGGAGAGGGCAATGAATAAAGAAAGTATTATGCCTTCTAAGCAGAGAAGGGCGGAGAGTAGGTGGGTACGATGAAAGGCCAGGCCGGTCAGTCCTAGCATGAAAGCCGATGAGAAGGCAAAGTGAGCGGGGGTCATTAGGTAATTATGGACTTTAACCACAAGTTTTTGAGCCGAAATCAAAGGTTTTTCTTAAACTAATTGCCTATTCAGCTCATTCTAGGCCCCCTTGGAGTCATTCATAAATTAGGCCTAGGGTGAGAAGAGCTAACACGGCTGTGGCTCAGAGGAACGTTAGCAGTGGGGATGTTAGCTGGTCTCCTCAGGGTAGTGGGAGCAGTAGGGCAATTTCTAAGTCAAATAGTAGGAACAGGATTGCGACTAGGAAGAATCGCAATGAAAAGGGTAGGCGGGCCGATCCAAGTGGATCAAAACCGCACTCATAGGGTGAAAGCTTCTCGTGGTCAGGGGTCATTTGGGGGAGCCAGAAGGATACAAGGGCTAAAATAATCGAGAGTGCTGTGGTGATTAAGATTACAGTTGTGACTAAGTTCATTATCTTTCCTTGGATTTTAACCAAGACCGGGTGATTGGAAGTCACTTATACTAACTTTAGTACTAGAAAGATTAGGATCCTCATCAGTAGATGGAGATGTATAGGAATAGTCAGACAACATCGACGAAGTGTCAGTATCAGGCGGCTGCTTCAAATCCGAAGTGATGGTCTGATGTAAAATGGTAGCGAATTTGACGGAGTAAGCAAACGGCCAGGAATAAAGAGCCAATAATAACATGTAGCCCGTGGAAGCCAGTGGCTACAAAGAAGGTAGAGCCGTATACGCCGTCTGCGATTGTAAATGGGGCCTCATAGTATTCCATGGCCTGGAGGAAGGTGAAATAAAACCCGAGGAGAATGGTAAGTGCAAGGGATTGAATGGCTTGTTTTCGTGCCCCCTCTATAATACTATGGTGGGCTCAGGTGACTGTAACCCCCGAGGCAAGCAGGACTGCTGTATTAAGTAGGGGTACTTCAAATGGGTCAAGCGTAGTAATGCCCGTGGGTGGTCAACACCCGCCTAGTTCTGGGGTGGGGGCAAGACTTGCGTGGTAAAAAGCCCAGAAGAACCCAAGGAAAAAGAAAACTTCTGAAGTAATGAAAAGAATTATACCGTAGCGGAGCCCTTTCTGAACAGGGGGTGTATGGTGTCCTTGGAAGGTACCTTCCCGCACGATATCTCGTCATCACTGGTATATTGTGAGAAGGAGGAGGGCTATTCCAAGGGTTATTAGGGTCGTGGACTGGAAGTGGAACCAGGTTGCGAGACCGGATGTTATTAATAGGGCAGCAACTGCACCTGTTAAAGGTCAGGGGCTGGGGTCAACTATATGGTAGGGGTGTGCTTGGTGGGCCATTAAACGTTCTCTTGTAGATAAAGCGTTAATAGAAGGACAAATACGTAAGCCTGAATTATAGCCACAGCGATTTCTAAAAGGGTGAGGAGAACAAGCACCACAGATGTCAGAAGGGCTACGGTAGGTATTAGGGGTATAAGAACAAAGGCGGCTGTTGCAATTAGCTGGATAAGAAGATGGCCGGCAGTCAAATTTGCTGTTAGTCGGACCCCGAGGGCGAGGGGGCGGATGAAAAGACTAATTGTCTCGATAATAATAAGGACCGGAATTAGGGGGCCTGGGGTACCTTCTGGCAGTAGGTGTCCGAGGGCGTGGGTTGGTTGGTTTCGCATCCCGATAATTACGGTTGCAAGTCATAGGGGGGTTGCAAGGCCTAAATTAAGGGAAAGTTGGGTGGTTGGTGTAAAGGTATAAGGGAGAAGGCCTAGTATATTTAGGGTAATTAAGAAGATTATTAGTGAGGTTAAAAGAGCGGCCCACTTATGACCCCCTAGGTTTAGAGGTATAAGAAGTTGTTGTGTGAAGCGATTAATAAATCAACCCTGAAGGGCAAGGAAGCGGTTATTTAATCATCGGGCCGTGGGTGTAGGGTATAAAATTCAGGGGAGGGTCAGAGCTAGGGCTATTAAAGGGACTCCTAGATATGTGGGGCTCATAAATTGGTCAAAGAAGCTTAGTGTCATGGTCAGGTTCAAGGGTCTGTTTTAGGTTTCTCTGTGCTATGGAGTGTTGGCTCGTTGGGGAAGGTGTGAGCTAACACTTTGGGTGGAATGACGGTTAAAAAAACCAATCATGAGAAGACTAGGATTGCAAATCAAGGCGCGGGGTTGAGTTGAGGCATGTCGCTAGGGGTGGTTGGGAGTCACCAATCTTTAGCTTAAAAGGCTAACGCTAGGCCCTATTTAGCTTCTTAGCGAGGCGTCTTCAAGTATTCGGGAGGACCAGTTTTCAAAGTGTTCTAGAGGGACTGCCTCAACTACGATGGGCATAAAGCTGTGATTTGCTCCGCAAATCTCGGAGCATTGACCGTAAAAAACCCCGGGCCGAGATGCAATAAAGGCGGTTTGGTTTAGTCGGCCTGGGACTGCGTCTATTTTAATACCCAGGGCCGGGACTGCCCACGAGTGAAGGACATCGTCAGCGGAGACTAAGACTCGGATCGGGGATTCTACTGGAATTACCATTCGATGGTCGGCTTCTAGGAGACGGAATTGTCCCGGGGTTAAATCTTGTGTTGGGATTATGTATGCGTCGAATCCGAGATCTTCGTAGTCTGTGTACTCATAGCTTCAGTATCATTGATGACCCACGGCTTTAATCGTGAGAAGGGGGTTATTGACTTCGTCTATAAGGTAAAGAATGCGTAGGGAGGGTAGGGCAATAAGGATGAGAATAATTGCTGGGAGGACAGTTCAGATAATTTCAATTTCTTGAGAATCTAAAATGTATTTGTTTGTCAATTTGGTGGAGACTATAGCCACAATAATGTAAAGCACCAAAGTGCTAATTAAGAAGACGATTATTAGGGCGTGGTCATGAAAATGAAGAAGTTCTTCTATTACAGGTGAAGCTGCATCTTGAAATCCTAGCTGTGAGGGATGGGCCATGGGGGGTAAGACACGCGGGAATTTAACCCACAATTCTGCCTCGACAAGGCGGTGTAATATACTTGTTACTAGTGTCTTATAAAGAAAGTGACAGAGCGGTTATGTGGCTGGCTTGAAATCAGTCCATGGGGGTTCGACTCCTCCCTTTCTCGTTAGTTTGATTGAACTTGAACAAATGCAGGCTCCTCGAAAGTGTGGTAGGGGGGAGGGCAGCCGTGTAGTCACTCTACATTTGTTGTCGTAAGTTCTACTGCTAGAACTTCTCGTTTAGCAGCAAATGCTTCTCAGATGATGAACAGGAATATAATTACTGCGACCAAAGAGATTAGAGATCCCACGGAGGAGACCGTGTTTCATAGGGTATAGGCATCTGGGTAGTCTGAGTATCGTCGAGGTATTCCGGCAAGACCTAAGAAGTGTTGGGGGAAAAAGGTTAAATTAACACCCGCAAATATTACCCCGAAGTGGATTTTTGTTCAAGTGCTGTGAAGGGTGTAGCCTGAAAATAACGGGAATCAGTGTACGAAGCCGGCAACAATAGCAAATACAGCACCCATAGATAGAACGTAGTGGAAATGGGCGACCACATAATAGGTGTCGTGGAGTACAATGTCGAGGGAGGAGTTTGCAAGAATAATTCCTGTTAAGCCCCCCACTGTAAAAAGAAAAATAAACCCCAGTGCTCAGAGAAGGGGGGTCTCTCATTTGATGGAACCTCCGTGGAGGGTGGCAAGTCAGCTAAAGACTTTTACGCCTGTAGGGATTGCGATGATTATGGTGGCAGAGGTGAAGTAAGCGCGTGTGTCTACATCCATCCCCACTGTAAACATATGGTGGGCTCACACGATAAAGCCTAGAAGGCCGATGGCCATCATTGCCCACACCATGCCTATATACCCGAAAGGTTCTTTTTTACCAGAATAGTAGGCAACAATATGTGAAATTATTCCGAAGCCTGGAAGAATAAGAATGTACACTTCGGGATGGCCAAAGAATCAAAACAGGTGTTGGTAAAGGATTGGGTCTCCCCCTCCGGCGGGGTCGAAGAAGGTGGTGTTGAGGTTGCGGTCTGTTAGGAGCATGGTAATTCCAGCTGCAAGCACGGGGAGGGAAAGGAGTAGTAGAACCGCCGTAATAAGAACTGACCAAACGAAGAGAGGTGTCTGGTATTGAGAAATCGCAGGGGGCTTCATGTTAATAATAGTTGTAATGAAATTAATTGCTCCAAGGATTGAAGAAATTCCTGCCAGGTGAAGGGAAAAGATTGTTAAATCAACAGAGGCTCCTGCATGGGCTAAATTACCAGAAAGAGGGGGGTAGACTGTTCACCCTGTCCCAGCACCCGCTTCCACCCCAGAAGAGGCAAGGAGAAGGAGAAAAGATGGGGGAAGGAGTCAAAAGCTCATGTTGTTTATTCGGGGAAATGCTATGTCCGGGGCCCCGATCATTAAGGGAACAAGCCAGTTTCCGAAACCTCCGATCATGATTGGTATCACTATAAAGAAAATTATTACGAACGCATGTGCCGTAACAATAACATTATAAATTTGGTCGTCCCCCAAGAGGGCGCCGGGTTGGCTTAGCTCCGCTCGAATGAGGAGGCTTAGGGCTGTGCCCACCATTCCGGCTCATGCACCGAATACTAGATAAAGGGTGCCAATGTCTTTGTGATTAGTCGAGAAAAATCAGCGTGTGATGGCCACAGGTAGGATGGCTGAGTTAAGCGGTGGATTGTAGACCCATAGACAGAGGTTCGAGCCCTCTTCTTATCAAGCCCTAAGGTGTTCCACATATAAGATTGCAAATCTTAAGAGGCAGACTAACCCCTGCTAGGGCTTTCCCCGCCTTCTAATGGCTAGACAAGGCGGGGAAAGTAGGTTGATGCCCGCTGGTTTGAGCGCTTAGCTGTTAACTAAGAATTTGCAGGATCGAGGCCTGCCGACCTAGAAAGGCTTTAGCTTAATTAAAGTGTCTGTTTTGCATGCAGAAGATGTGGGGTAGTGTCCTGCAAGTCTTATCAGGGGCTGGGAGGTTTTCACTCCCGCTTAGGGCTTTGAAGGCCCTTGGTCTTGTGTTAGCCTAAGCCTCTTAGATGGTTAGGAGGGCTACTGCGGCGGGGGTTAAAGGTAGTAGTAGCAAGGTTGCTGAGGTCGAAATGGCAACAGGAAGTGTAAGTTGCGAGGATGTAAAGCGCCAAGGGGTCACCCCGGTAGTGCTATTGGGGGATATAGTAAGTGTTATAGCGTAGGAGAGGCGCAGATAGAAGTACAAACTGAGTAAGGCCGCTAAGGCGGCCAGTGTTGCAGTGAGGGCCAGGTCTTGTTTAGCAAGTTCTTGTAAGATTAGTCATTTTGGTATAAACCCGGTGAGGGGGGGAAGGCCCCCTAAAGAGAGGAGGATAAGAGGGGCGAGGGAGGTCAGGGAGGGTGCTTTTGCTCAAGAGGTGCTAAGGGCATTTAGGGTGGTTGAATTATTTAACTTAAATACGAGGAAAGTGGAAAATGTTATGAGGAAGTAAGTAAGGAGGGTAAGGAGGGTTAAGGAGGGTGAGAATTGTATTACAAGAATTATTCAGCCGAGGTGAGCAATGGAAGAGTAGGCCAGAATTTTTCGCAGTTGGGTTTGGTTTAGTCCGCCCCACCCTCCGACAAGGGTTGATATAAGTCCCAGGGTGATGAGAAGAGTAGAGTTTAGGGGTTGAATTTGTATAAGTAGGGCAAAGGGTGCTAGTTTTTGTCAAGTGGACAGAATTAGTCCTGTGGTAAGGTCTAGTCCTTGAAGGACTTCGGGTAATCATGCATGGACTGGGGCTAGGCCGACTTTTAGTGCAAGGGCCAGGGTAATAATGGTGATTGGGAGAGGGTGAGATATTTGTTGAATGTCTCATTGTCCTGTTATTCAGGCATTGGTGGTGCTTGCAAACAGAAGTATTGCGGCCCCGGTGGCTTGTGTTAGGAAGTATTTAGTGGTGGCTTCAACTGCTCGTGGATGATGATGTTGTGCTATTAGTGGGATAATCGCAAGGGTATTTATTTCGAGGCCTATTCAGGCGAGTAGTCAGTGGGAGCTGGCAAAGGTGATTGTAGTTCCTAGGCCTAAACCAAAGAGTAGGGTGGCTAAGATGTACGGGTTCATTAGCAAAGGAGGGAGTTTAACCAACATGTTTGGGGTATGGGCCCAAAAGCTTAATTAGCTGACTTTACTAGGAAGTGGTGTAGTGGAAGCACTGAGAGTTTTGATCTCTTTAGGTAGGGTTCGAGCCCCTTCTTTCTAAGGAGCTGGGGGGACTTTAACCCCCATAGTTCACTCTATCAAAGTGGCCCTTTGCTTCAGGCACAGCCCCGTGTCTATACTTGTGGAGGTAGACCAGCAAAAGCGATGGGGAGAGCGAGATGCCAAATAACCAGGGCTAGTGTAAGTGGAAGAAAGTTTTTTCAGATTAGATGTATGAGTTGGTCGTATCGGAATCGGGGGTAGGAGGCTCGCACTCAGAGGAACATGACTGATAGAAGGGCTGCTTTGGTCATCAGGTTAATAGCGGTTAATTCTGGGATGGAGGGGATATGTGAGGCGCCTAAGAAGAGTGTGGCGGATAGGGTATTTATAAGTAGGATGTTGGCATATTCTGCGAGGAAAAAGAGTGCGAATGGTCCTCCTGCATATTCTACGTTAAACCCTGAGACAAGCTCGGATTCTCCCTCGGTAAGGTCAAAGGGTGCCCGGTTGGTTTCAGCTAAGGTGGAGATGTATCATATGGCTGCTAATGGTCAGGCAGGTATAATTAGTCAAATGCTCTCTTGCGCAATGTTAAAGGTTTGCAGGGTAAAGCCTCCCGTGAAGATAATAATATTTAGGAGAATTAGGCCTAGGCTGACCTCGTATGAAATAGTCTGAGCAACCGCTCGAAGGGCTCCGATAAGAGCGTATTTTGAATTAGAAGCCCACCCTGAGCCTAGAATAGAGTATACTGCCAGGCTAGATAAAGCAAGAATAAATAAGATGCCTAGATTCAGGTCAATTATAGGGTAGGGGAGGGGCATGGGGGCTCAAAGGGTAAGGGCTAAGGTGAGGGCTAGTATAGGGGTTAATAGGAATAAGATCGGGGAAGCGGTAGAGGGACGAACGGGCTCTTTAATGAAGAGTTTAAGGCCGTCTGCGATGGGTTGTAGGAGTCCGTAGGGGCCTACAATATTGGGGCCTTTTCGCAACTGCATGTAGCCAAGTACTTTTCGCTCTAGAAGGGTAAGAAAAGCGACAGCCAGGAGGACGGGCACGATAAAGGTTAAGGGGTTAATAATGTGAGTAATGACTGTAGATATCATAGTTAGGGAGAGGACTTGAACCTCTGTAGAAAGGGCTTAGGTCTTTTGCAATTGCCGGGCTCTGCCACCTTAACATGCCTTTTTCTTAGGCAACGGGGCATGCCCCCTTGCCTACTTTAGTTGACTTCAGCAGGTGGAGGGGAGGCATGCCTTGAGCATGGGCCTCCTCTTTCCGGTCCTTTCGTACTAGAAAAGAGCACAGCATAGATAGAAACTGACCTGGATTACTCCGGTCTGAACTCAGATCACGTAGGACTTTAATCGTTGAACAAACGAACCCTCAATAGCGGCTGCACCATTAGGATGTCCTGATCCAACATCGAGGTCGTAAACCCCCTTGTCGATATGGGCTCTAAAAGAGGATTGCGCTGTTATCCCTAGGGTAACTCGGTCCGTTGATCGGCATTGCCGGATCTTACTGGTCAGAATTTCTGTTTACTAGAGCTGTGGCTCTTAGTTGTAGGAGGGGTGCTCCCATTCCACGTGGGGGTTTTTTAATTCCCCGCGGTCGCCCCAACCAAAGACATTAGGGTAGGTTCCATCTGGTTTAGTCCTTTATTTCGGGTTATTAACATGATCTATCTTGGTGTCTAAAGCTCCATAGGGTCTTCTCGTCTTATGTTTGTACCCCCGCTTCTGCACGGGGAGATCAACTTCATTGACTGGAAAGAGGAGACAGTTAAGCCCTCGTTATGCCATTCATACAGGTCTTCATTTAAAAGACAAGTGATTGCGCTACCTTCGCACGGTCAAAATACCGCGGCCGTTAAACTAATAGTCACAGGGCAGGCGGGACCTCTTATTTATTAAGTTTGCAAGAGGCGATGTTTTTGGTAAACAGGCGAGGCTTTAATGTTTGCCGAGTTCCTTCTCTTTCTTTTAGTCTTTCCCTGTGGGCACACCTGTGTGGGGTTAACGGTTATTCCCTGAATGTTTTTCTTGTTGTTTAATCTCTTATTCAGTACCCTCTTTGTTTGGGGCCGTTAATGGTCGGTGGGGTGTCCGTTCCGATATACATGTGTGCAGGGAGAGAGCCGGGGCTCTCTTATTACTCATATTAGCATAATCACCCCCATGCACGCATGGGGCGGTCCATTATGTTTAGGGGAATAAGATTTTGTAGTCAGAATAAGAAGGGTTTGAGTGTAATATCTGAGCTTTAACGCTTTCTAAGGGGATGGCTGCTTTTAGGCCCACCCAAATATTTTCCTTTAGATATTATGATCTTTATCCTCCTGGTAAAGTTGTGTCTTGGTTCAAAGGGGCTGTACCCCCTTTGACTAACTCTCCTGGTTTCTTAAGTACATCGATAGGGGTTAGGCTAAGGTGAAAAGAGAAGCAAGGAGGCTGAACTTCTATTCATCTCTTGGACAACCAGCTATTACTGGGTTCGGTAGGTCTGTCACCTCTACTCAAAGCTCTTCCCACTCTTTTGCCACAGAGACGGGTGTGCCCTATTAATAGGCTGTCTTGGAGTAGCTCACCCAGTTTCGGGATATCAAACTAAAGCACTCTTTGCTTGGGTTACACTTGCTAAATCATGATGCAAAAGGTACGAGTTTTAATCTCTGCTTTTTTAGGCTTCACTGGGTTTTTTCACTTCTCTTTCAGCATTCCCTTGCGGTACTTTCTCTATTGCGCCGTTGGTCCCGTTTCTATCACCTATACTAAGGGGGAAAAATGGTTTGTTTAATGAATGTTAGTGTACTTAGGGGTTATTAACAGGGGTTTGTTGGAGTTGTTTGAGCGGGCTAGCTATAAAGCTTCAGGGCGACCCGACTTGCACGGATGACTTCTCAGTGTAAGGGAGATGCTTTTCTATCTTAGCTACGCTCTGATTTTTCCAAGTGCACCTTCCGGTACACTTACCATGTTACGACTTGCCTCCCCTTTGCGATTATTAGGGTTTAGTTAATTAGGTTGGTGGGCTTGGGGAGAGTGACGGGCGGTGTGTGCGCGCTTCAGGGCCAATTTCAGTGGAACGCTCTATTTTCCGCTTACTGCTAAATCCTCCTTCGGATGAACGTTTCAGTGCATCGTCCGTATTCGCTGTAATTAGCGAATGTAGCCCATTTCTTCCCCTCCCATACGCTACACCTCGACCTGACGTTTTGGGTTATACCAGTTTAGCTTACTATTAGACCTTCACAGGGTAAGCTGACGACGGCGGTATATAGGCGGGGAAAACAAGGAAAGGTGAGGTTGAACGGGGGTTATCGGTTCTAGAACAGGCTCCTCTAGGTGGATCTAAAGCACCGCCAAGTCCTTTGGGTTTTAAGCTGATGCTCGTAGTTCCCAGGCGGATAGTGGGTGTAATATACTATCAATGTTTAGGGCTAGGCATAGTGGGGTATCTAATCCCAGTTTGTGCCGTAGCTTTCGTGGGTTCAGATTAAATAAAGCCACCTTCGTGGTTGAACTTCTTATCTTCGGGTGCGTATAACAGCCGTGAGGATGTTCGGCTTTAGTGTAAATTTTAACTTAACCACTCTTTACGCCGTGGTCTTTCAACTTGGGCCTCTCGTATAACCGCGGTGGCTGGCACGAGTTTTACCGGCCCTCTTAGCTTTGACTAAGTCAAGTTTTCACTTATGGCTTAATGTTTATCACTGCTGAGTTCCCTTGAGGGTGTGGCTAAGCAAGGCGTCATGGGCTCACTAGAGATGTGCCTGATACCAGCTCCTTGTTCCCTGGCGGGGAACTGTAGGGCATTCTCACAGGAGTGCGGATACTTGCATGTGTAAGTTTAGCTAAAGTTGATAGTAAAGTCAGGACCAAGCCTTTGTGCTTGCGGAGCTTTCTAGGGTCCATCTTAACATCTTCAGTGTTATGCTTTACTTAAGCTACGCTAGC